AGAAGGAATGTGCTCCAAATGCTCTGACTAGTGCTGGGTATTCTCAAGTTCCTTACTCTCTACACTAAAAATTGCAAACAAAATAAATCATCAGGATTCAGTTTAATACAATGCTCATTTTGCCAAGTAATACATATTTGTTCCAAATTAGAGATTATGACCTATCTATTGCCACATTTTTGGACAAAATATTGGTATCTGATAGGGTTTAAAACTTGTGAATCAGACCTTTAATCCAATCAAATTCTGGTAGTGCCCTCATCACCCTTGTGTGTGTAGCTGCACTGAGATAGCAATGGCAGGATGGGCATGAGAGGAGATCAGATTGAGAAAGGTAGATTTATTTCTGGTTACCTTTCTCAATCTGATCTCTCATATGTATCACCGTAACTTTAGTAAAATCTTTACACCACTGACACAGTGCATTGAATTATACAACATTCCCATGGCCTTCTCCATAGGGAAACAAATATTTCCAAGTTTATTCTATGGAGAAGGTACTGTTCAGTATTTAAACAGCAAAATTAACCACTAATCTTTCAATACATGTTATCATGATAAGTATTAATCCCTCTGATTTTTTTGTTATTATGACTCAGGGTTTTGTATAGTTCAGCTCAGGGTTGAATGTACTGCAGAGTCAATTATAACCTGAAACCCCTGACTTTCCTGTCTCTGCTTTCCCAAATGCACAACTGTCAGGCATATCCTGCCAATCCCAGCTTCCATCCATGGCCTTTGTAAACTAGTTTTCAATATTAAACACTTACTTAAACTTTTACTTCTGTTGAATTTTGTACGAATTAAAATACTACTACTTTGTTCTTCTTGGTTACAAGTCATAACTGAAAACCTAAATAAATAACACATTTTTGCCAAACACTCATTATAATTACTAAGAGAGTTTCAGAAATGTTGAGGTGATGTAGAATTGGAAGCTGTCCTAAACACAAACACAAACATTTCCAAGTAAACCATGAGGGCTTCAAAACCAAGAATTTCATATTTTATGAGAATATGAAAGGGAAGTCATACATATATCTCAACAATTTGGCTGCCTAAAGAAGACCTGCATAATGTTAATTGACCTGGAAACAAAGTTGGGGGTGTTATCTCACCAATTTGGTGTATTGTATAAATAACTCTTTTGATCTTATGGAGTAGTGTTAGGTAACTTGCTGATTTACTATGTGATGAATGAGATGATATGAGTCTGAGTGTAGTGAAATATGCTTCCTTGGCTGTTTCAGATGTCCAATACTGGCACTGGCTCAACTTTCCACTCACTACCTGTGTACTTATCTACCAGGAGGATAAAGCAGTAATAGAGTCTTATTACTAACCAGGACGCAAAATGTATTTCTCTTTGCCATTTCTGTGACTGTCCTAGCATTTTACAATGATTGCCCAGAGCAAAGAGAAAAAGTTAGAATATAAGAGAGACGAAGTAAAACATAAATAACAAGGTATAAATGGATATTTTTATAAAAGTTATTCAATATAACTCTTTTCCTCTGGATAATGATCTATTGAGAGGATATTTTAAATTACAATTTCATAGAATTACAAGTCTGAAAGATAAAAGGCAAAGTAGAACAATAATCTCTTGCAAACCACAGCTTCCAGGCAGGAGATGTATTATACAACCAGTCCACACACTTGTTAATAACATCTTCTAAGATTACAAAGAAGAAAATTAATGTCAAATCCAATTTTTGACCTCTGATATAGAAACACATTAGACTATCTTAATATGTTACAATATAATGTAAACCTTAAATCATTGTACTCATTTCAAATACTTAATGGATGAAATGTCAAATAAATATTGGTATATATATATTCAGTTATTTTTTATGAGGAGAAATCTCTGCTTGATGACTTTAGTGATTTTGAAGGTAGAAAATGATATTTTGGCCAACATCAAAATCTTATGTAGATCTGGGAACCATCTACAATAGTTAGCATCTCAATGTTGTTCAAAGATTACATGACTTATTGAAGGTATCATTTGTGTGTTAGCAGAGATGCAAAATTACTTTGTAAATAGGGTTTGAAAAATATCTCACAGAAAATAAAAAGAGAAAAGTAATCTGTGCCTTGAAATAAGAAAATCAAAGTGTTTCCCAATTTTTCTGTGGCTATAATAAAACACTCTGACATAAACAGTTCAAAGGGCAATGAACACATTCTAGCTCACAGGTCCAGGTTACAATGCATCACGACATTGTAGAAATCACAGCAGGAAGAGCATGAGGTAGCTGATCACTTTGTATCCACTATCAACAAGCAGAGAGTGACTGGCCTTTGTGCTAAGCTCGCAGCATAAAAAATGATGCTTCTCACAGTAGGCAGGACATTCCACCTCTATTAACCTAATGAAAACACTATCCCATGGCTGTTTTCAGAGGTGCTTTCTCTATGGGATTTTAAATCTCATTGTATTGACAATCTAATTTAACCATCATACAGGATGCCTTTTCCTTTCTTCTTTGTATTATTCCCATAATCCCTGTTACATTCAACTGAAAAAAAATTCCTGGTTTCAGTTACATGCCAAGTACAGGTGTAATACAATTTTACCTGGGTATGGCAGTGCCTTGCATAAAAGGTGAGACTTCATAGGAATATCTAAAACTGACAATGTAACTATAGCACTATAGATAGGAGATCCAAATGCAGTCATGGTTCTGGTGAAGATCAGGCAGGGACATGAGACAAGAAATATTATTGAGAGAGTAAAGATGGATTCCCATCAATAATTTCCCTGACCATCTTTATAAACAAAACCTGAAATAGAAATAAATATCTATTTCAAAATAGTACAGTCACATGGAAAGCAATAAAGAGAATTCATATAGTAAACATGTATGACAGGAAAGAGTAAGTTTTCAATAAGATGACAGCTGCTATTACTTTTGTAGTTTATTTCCATTGTTTGTGTTATAATAATAACTTGAAACCTAGCATCCTATATGAAAATGAGAATAAATAACTGAACCCTGGAGGTGAAATGAAATGTACATGTTCAACTGGCAATCATTATTGTAAATACATGGCTGAAAGCACAAGATTAGACAAAAATCTTCACAAAATCTTAGTGTTTAGCTGTTTGTGTAAAAAAAAAGCAGAGTTTTTTTAAACTCTGAAATTTAAACATTCTATGTTAAACAAATAAACACTAGAGCTGGCTGGGATCAAAGGGTGAGTCTTTAGGAACAGAGAGAGTGTCACATCCTTGTCCATGCCTGAATAAATAAATTGCAGGCTTCAAAGCATTCTCTGAGAAGCAGAGTATGCTGGCTTCAGGCCAAAATAAAAAAAAAATATGCAAAGCTTTCCTTCAGTGGCTGGCTGTTCAAATGCATGCCAGGAGTGGAGGGGGGGGATTATAGAATATGTCCCAAAAAATCATTCCGGGTTTGCAAACCTGAGGTGCATTGTGCCATGTTCTATTCTGTCTGTCATATATTTTCATAAAGGTGAACTGAAGCTAAATGAATTTTTAAAATTGGCTTAAAGGAGCATGGAAGTCAAAAAAGAGCAAGCAGCAAGGCATTCAAGGTGTATAAAGAGTTTTATAAGAGTCTAGGCTTTGCCAGGGACAGTTGACACTGTTTATTGCTATACGAGATTCAGATTTCTGTAGGAGATGCTGACACAATACATACTCTGCTGGTGACAGGCTTATAAGTCATTGCTCAACCCTGAGATTGGGATAGAGTCTAAGCATAGTCTAAAAGATAATATTCCTACATTACTGACATACAAATTTCCTTTCCTGAGGTACACAAATAGTGTGCTTCTTCCAGACTTAACAAATCACCTCCACCAACATGAAAACCATAACTGCTTACTCATTGTCATAAAACACATTGGTTCAGATATCCTTTAATTGATTTCCAATTATTGGCCCACATAATTTGCTATTATCCTCCTGGTTTTACAGCTGAAGAACCTAAAGTAGAAGCAGTCACAGACCTCTGAATTCACACAGGAAATTCTTGACTATAGGTAGTAACATATTGGTCCTTTGGATATTGATCCTTTGGGCCATGAATTTTTTTTTTTTACTCACCTGGTTAATCAGAACATGTAATATGTCATGTGACACACGTCTCTGAGTTATTAAGGTGTCTTTATTGTTGTTGTTGTTTTGGTTTGTTTGCTTAAGGACAGTCATATAACCCACAGTAACCTTCAACTTTCTGTAACTAAGGATGACTTTGAACTGTGGTCCTCCTGACTCCATCTCCAGAGTACTAGAATTACAAGCACAAAGGTTTTCACAAATATCAGTCTGGGCTGTGTCTTGGGAAATCCAAACAGTAGCAGAAATGAACCCACAGTTGTATAATTATTAGAACTAAAAAGACGCCTTATTTTGACCTATTGAGAGCTCCCAAATCATATATATCCCGCTGTTATACTATGCAGGATCTGAGTTGATTCAATACTCACAGAGTTGTCTTATTTTCATCTTCTTTATTTGAATATTTTTCAAGAATCTCAGGTTAAAAATTTAAATGAAAATGTGCAGGTCATCATGCTCATCCCCCTTTGGGCTGGAAATGACCTGTATATTCCCGCTTAGCTCACATGAGCAAACACTTATGAGAACTCTACTTCCAAGTACAGAAAGTTTCTCTTCAATAACAGGGATGTTCAAAGACTTCCTGCTGATGCCTTCAGCCACAAATAGCACCAAACCCTGTATGTGCTTCACATTAGCTTCACATGCATAGAGAGATCTAATGTTTTCCCACCTCATTCCACCACTTACCATATTCTGTGCCCTTAGCTTTAACAGTTTGATCAAAAGCAAAATTAGACTAAGAGAACGTACCTTCTGCAATGTTTTACAGAAGATGTTTCCATAAAATTGACTTCAGATGCCTCAGCATTTTTTCTTTATTCTCATTGTAAAAATCTTGACCTTTTCACAAGCTGTCAATGTTTTATTTTACATCTCCTGTTTTGTTTTTTTGTTTTTTTTTTAGATGGACAGCATTACTACTCTTTCATCTTGGAACCATCAGGAATAATGTCCACCATTTGAGCATAATGGTGAAATGTTTGATCTTAGGTAGCTGCTAAGAGGCTGATGGGCAAGTAATGTATATAGCATGGATACGCTAATAAAGGAAGAATTGAATCGCATGTACTGCCTTGTTTGAGCCGACTGGGAGGTGATTCATCATATGGAAATTTCTCATCAAATAATTTTAAGTTGTTGATACACATAGACAAATGAAGGGGGAGTACTTTAGACACACAATTGGCTATTATCTTTTTTAAGAAGGGCTTCTGAGAGCTTCCCCTGGTTTTATGATTTCAATGAGAGCTTACTTATATACTTTAGAGTATTCCTGTTTGATGAATTCCTATGCATAAACAATAATATGTTTTACTGTACATTTAGAACCCAAGCCTCTTTTCTTTCTTTTAAACTTTACTCTAAAAATCCAGGGTTTCTTCACTCCTGCAGGCCTCTTTGCCTTGTAAATTCATGCATAGCTAGAAATCCATGTTCTCAAATCAGAGAATACAATTCAGCATGTATCTTCCTTCCTGCAAAATAATATTGTATTTATATATTTTCTTTCTGGGTTTCTGGCATTGTGCTAGTTGAGACAGATGGTGTTATGATTATTTATAGTCTATCTGTAAAGCAAGACAGTAAACCCCTTATAGTTTTTTAAAAAATGTATTTATCTTCTCATCTTGCATTTAGCTCCACAACTATGAAAATTAGTAAACCTTTTTTAATAACTAAGAAGCAAAATGAATTATTTGCAAAGTCCTAATACTATATTAGAGAGAAAATGTCAGTCAAGCAAAGTAAAACATACTAATTCCAGAATCATTTAGATTCTCCTAAAATCCATTTGTTCCTGATTCTGAAAGTGAAACATAATTCCATTAGTGAACTTACCATAGGTGATTTATTTTGGGTTATTTAATTGGTGGACTACATTAGTCATAACTATAAATCTACCTTTCTTATCCACAGGTTGCAATTCTGGTCCTAAGTTGAATGGCTGAAATGTAGGCAGGTATTGTTTATACTGTCAAAGTCTCTGTGAGTCTATAAGTGCAGCAGTTCCTTTGTTTCTGGAAAATACTGTTTCCTTAGAGATGTCCAACATCTCTTGTTTTTTCTAATCTTTCTATCTTCTCTTCTACATAAACCTTTGGCTTTTGGGGGAGAGGTTTAATAATGACCGAGTTTATGCTAAAGTGTTCCATGCTCCATGCTCTCTCACTTCTCTGCACATTGTCCAGTTTGGATCTTGTGTCGATTGCCACCTATTGCAAGAAGAAATTTCTCTGTTGAAGGTTGAGTGATGCCCAATTTATGGGTATAGATACACAAGACCCAGCTATACCACTCTAGAGAATATATTCAAAGAACTCTATCTTATTACAGAGATATCTGCTCATCTTTCCAGATCCGCACACTTCCATGTTCTTTCTCAGGTAGAAACAGCAACCAAAAGCAAAAAAAAAAAAAAAAAAAAAAAAAAAAAAAAAAAAAAAACTCACAAAATGAGGGGGGAAACATAAAAGTGCACACAACTTGGGGCAAGTTATCCTGTCATGCTAAACCTTCCTTGTAAGATACAAAGAAATAAAAGCTTTAGTCTAACTTCATAGTAACTACGCTATTTCCAAGGGACAATGAATAAACACTTCAAAGTTTGGATAAGCCCCAAAAGCACACAAAACTGTTAGTTTACAAACCACATGTAATGAATTGCTTCTGTCTTTGAAACATTTTTGTAATATGTTTTTTAATAGAATTTGTGTACATCCAAAAAATATCCACAGTAACTACTATGCTGTTTAGGTTTTGTCAATTTGACACCCAGCTAAATACATCAGAAAAGGGGAGTCTCAAATAAGAAATTTTCAGCAACATATTAGCCTGTGGACATGTTTGTGGAGCATTTTATTGGTTAAAGATTGATGTGGGAGGCCAAGTTCTCTGGGGACCGTCCTGATCCAGGGCAAGCAGTCTTCAGAGATATAAGAAATGTAACTGATCATGGGTCTAAAATCAACCCAGTAAACAGCTTCCCTCAATGGATGATTTCTCTGTCCTTTTTTATTATGTTGCTGCATTGAATTCCCTCAATAATTAATTGTTATTGAGACATTTATAAAATAAATCCATTTGTCCCCAACTTGCTTTAAGTCATGGTATTTATCACAACTAAGGAAACAAGATTATATTGGTCATATTGAAAGTATACACAGATGTTCACAGGTGTGTGGGTTAATATTGGGTTTTCAACTCTATTCCATTGGTCTACCTGTCAATTTTTGTGCCAATACCAGGGTGTTTTCAGGACTATAGCTCTATAATAGAGCTTGAAATCAGGGATGGTGATGCCTCCAGAAGTTCCTTTATTGTTTTGGCTATCGTGTGACTTTTGTTTTTCCATATAAACTTTTTGGTTAGTGTTACCCGAAGATATATTATGTTGTTTGTGGCAATTGTAAGTGGTAATGTTTCTCTGATTTCTTTCTCCAGGAATGTATCATCAGTATATAGTAGGGCTACAGATTTTTTGAGTTAATCTTGTATCCTGACACTTTGCTGAAGGTGTTTATCAGCTGTAGGAGTTCCCTGGTAGAGTTTTTCTGTTCACTTCTGTAGACTATCAAATCATCTGCAAATAGTGAAAGTTTGACTTCTTTTCTGATTTGTATCCCCTTTATCTCCTTTTGTTTCTTATTGCTCTAGCTAGAACTTCAAGGACAATATTGAAGAGGAATGGAGAGAGTGGACAGCCTTGTCTTGTCCCTGATTTTAGAGGAATTGCATTGAGTTTCTCTCCATTTAACTTGATGTTGGCTTGCTGTATATTGCTTTTATTATGTTAAGTTTTATTCCTGTTATCCCTGATCTCTCCAAGACCTTTATCATGAAGGGGTGTTGAATTTTGACAAAGGCTTTTTCAACATCTAATGAGATGATCATGTGGTTTTTCTTTTTCAGTTTTTTCATGTGGTGGTTTACACTGATGGATTTTCATATGTTGAACCATCCTTGCATCCCTGGGATGAAGCTGATTTTTGACAAAGAAGCTAAGTTTATATGATGGAATAAAGAAAGCATCTTCAACAAATGGTGCTGCCATAACTGGATGCTGGAATGTAGAAGACTGCAGATAGATTTGTGTCTATCACCATGCACAAAACTGAAGTTCAAATTGATCAAAGACCTCAACATCAATCCAGCCACATGGAATGTATTAGAAGACAAAGTGGAAATTACCCTTGAATTAATGGTACAGGAGACCTGTTCCTGAACATTACACCAGTAGCACAGACACTGAGATCAACAATTGATAAATGGGACCTCCTGAAACTGAGAAACTTCTGTAAGGCTAAGGACACAGTCAGTAGACAAAATGGCAGTCCACAGGGTGGGAAAAATTATTCAACAACCCCATATCTGACAGTGGGCTGATCTCCAAAATATACAAAGAACTCAAGAAGCTAGTCTCCAAAACACCAAATAATCCAATTAAAAAGTGGGGGACAGAACTAAATAGACAGTTCTAAATAGAGGAATCTAAAATGGCTGAAAAGCACTTAAGAAAGTGTTCAACATCCTTAGCCATCAGGGAAATGAAAATCAAAACAACTCTGAGATACCATCTTACTCCTGTTAGAATGGCTAAAACAAAAAACACCAATGATAGTTTGTGCTGGAGAGGATGTCGAAAAGGGGGAACACTCCTTCTTCATTGCTGGTAGGAGTGCCAACTTGTACATCCACTTTGGAAATTAGTATGGTGACTCCTCAGGAAAATGGGAATCAATCTACCACAAGATCCAGCAATTTCACTCCTAGGCATATACCCAAAAGATGCACATTCATACAACAAGGACATCTGTTCAAAGCTGTTCATAGCAACGCTATTTGTAATAGCCACAACCTGGAAGAAAACTAGATGGCCCTCCACTGACAAATGGATAGAGAAAATGTACATTTGCCCAATGGAATACTACTCAGCAGAAAAAAAAACCAATGGAATCTTGAACAATGGAATCTTGAAATCTGTAGGAAAATAGATGGAACTAAAAGAAACCATTCTGAGCGAGGTAACACAATCACAAAAAGACAAACATGGTATGTACTCACTCATATGTGGATTTTAGACATAGAGTAAAGGAATACCAGCCTACAATCCACACTGCCAGAGAAGCTAGTAAACAAGAAAGACCCTAAATTATACATACATGGTACCCTGGAGAAGGGAAAAGGGACAAGATATCTTGAGCAAGTTGGGAGCAAGGGAGGTGGGTTGAGGGAGTTAGGAGAATGAGAAGTGGAGACGAGGACGGGTGAGGGAGTAAAAAGTTTGAGTCAGGGGAAGAATAGAAGAAAACAAGAAAGGAGATACCATAATAGAGGGAGAGATTTTAGGTTTACAGAGAAATCAGACACTAGGGAAATGTCTGGAGATCTACAAAGATGACACAAGCTAACAATATAAGCAACAGAGGAGAAGCTACCTTACATGCCCTCCCCTGATATTGAGATTACTGACTGTCTTATATGCCATCCTATAACCTTCATCCAGCAGACACCCACAACTATTCACTGAACTGAACTGGAATCCAGTTGCAGAGAAGAACCAGTGATGGGCAAAGGGGTCCAAAACAGGCTGGTGAAACCCAGAAAAACAACTGACCTGAACAACGGGGACCACTTGGTTCCCAGACTGAGAGCTGGGATACCAGCATGAGACTGATCCAGAAGCCAGGAACGTGGGTTTCAGTAAGGAGACCTTGGAAATCTATGGGACCTCCTGTAGTAGTTCAGTACTTATTCCTAGCATAGGTGTGAACTTTGGGAGTCCAATCCACATACGGGGGTACTCCCTGAGCCAAGACCCACGGGGGTGGGCCTAGGACCTATCCCAAAGGAAATGATAGATTCTGATAACCCCTATGGAAGGCCTCACCCTCCCCTGGGGAGTAGAAAGGATATGTGACAGGTAGGGTATTAGTTGTAGGGTAGTAGGGGAGGGAGTGGCAACTGGGATTGACATGTAAAACAATCTTGTTTCTATTTCAAATTTAAAAAAGAAAGAAAGAAAAAGAAAACATACACAGATGATTCTCCATGGTTAAAATCACCTAAATATTGAAAGTTTGTTGTCCAGAGAACTTCCATAATCAAGGTTAATATATTAAAACCAATGCAGGGGATGTGGGAAAGCAATATCAATAAGAGCAAAACAAGTACAACACATTTAGAAAATGTTAAATTTGATCAAGGTGAAAGGATTGAGAATAGAACTCATAGATCATATATGGAATTTATCAGAAAAATCTTAATAAAACTGGTACTTAACATTTCTAAATGTAAATTCAAATATTATAAACGCAGAAATGTGCTTTTAGTGCATAATGTCCAATAGGACTTCTTTTGTTATCACTATCAATGTAATTTAACCCTCAGGTTTTCTATTTTGTTCCATGCTTTTACTGAGATATTAAAGGTGATTGAAAACTGACTGCTCCTAATTTTTGTTCTGACCTAAAACTTTCATTTTTGTTAAATTCTTTTCATTCATGCATTTCTAGATATTTTATTCAAACAGAATTAAGTACTTATTCTGTATGAATCTTGGGAAATTTCTAAACTCCAAAGTTTTGGGTTTAAATACATATACACCCTCAGCCCCAATTCAGGTACTGCTTATGGTTCCCTGCAGATCTCTATTTATTATTTGTAATATGAGCTCCAAGCATACGGCGAACATGAAAATTTCCTTTATTGGTGAATCATAACAATGTTCTTTAAGAAATGTTATTATGTAATATAATTCAGCTTGATTGTTCTATTTGCCTTCTCCAATATTTTAATTCATCCACATTAAATTAATTTAATCCATTTTTTCTTGATTAGCAAATTACTCTCTTTTCTCTGATTTTTCTTTTTTTTTTTTTTTGGCCTAAATGTCATCAAGGACAAATGAGTTAGCCTCAATTGGTCATCCCCATGTCACCAATGCTTTTCTGACTTGAAAGCTTTCAGTCCAGATTGTAACAATCACATGGTCATGGCTCTAATGTAATACATATGGATTTATTGAAATCCTGCTGTACTCTTACACAGAGTTTGTAGTTTTCTAGTTTTTTGTTATATCATATACAGGAAGGATATATTGTATATTTTCTATAAATTATCCATGACAAGGAATACCATCTAGTCATGAATCTAAAAAATGTAATTATACAGAATCTCTGTCTCTACATATAATTTTCTTGCTCATATATGTGGAAAAACATATATGTGAAAGATCATTTAGTACTTAAAGAGTTATTCATGTATACTGTGACATAAGTGAGAAGATGAAATGCTACACGTCTCAAAAAACGTTCAATGAAATTTTATTTAATGTATGAGGATACTAGGCCCATAAATATCAGTAACAAGTGTGCATTCCCAATCTCAGT